ATTATTCTTGGAGAGGTTGTATCCTATATCTTTGTTGAATTGGTAGGATAAGTGCCTTGGACTCAAGCTGGGTGATCTTGGGAAAGCTATCCTTTAGTGAAATAGAAGCAAAACGTCTCTTTTTATAGAGAGGGCAAAAATGGGGTGTCAAGAGAGTTCTTTATCAAACAAGATTTCAATGGATTTCAAGTAACTAATTAGTGTGTTGAAATTCTTAATATGCTCAATCGCTACTCCTTCTAATATTTTCAAATGGTTAACTTCATTAGATGGACTTTGTTCATGGTTGAAGGTTTCTCAAACATCCGTGACAAGGCAGCTATCGAGTAACTCCCGCTCACCAATTTTCACCTTTTTCAACTTCTTCACTACTCTTGCAAGAGCAAAACAAAGATCCTTTTGATAGAGATAATCTTCTATTTGCATCTTCCACAATCCAAAGTTTGAATTGTTGAATTTTTTTTTATCTTCATCTTGATTTTATTCACTATTGATCTTGCTTTAGGAATGAAAGCTTTGATACCACTTGTTATAGTATATACAATCAATACCAAACTCCAGGACTTGAGCAAACAAACGCACATAATAATTCTAGAATGGAGAAGTAGATGAAGAGAAATACCAAACTCATAAAGCAGTGCAAGCGATTTACGTGGTTCACCCAAATTTAAGGGCTACATCCACGGGGTCACTATGGTTTCACTAAGATGAATATAAAAGAAGTTACAAGATTCTTACACTTAATCTCACAAACTCTCTCTTCACAATGATCTCTCTTTATCGTGTATCTCTCACTAAGATCACAAAACTTATAACTAATGAAGCTATAAGGCTATTTATAGTGCTAACCAAAAATCCAAATCCAAACCAAGATGGAAACACAAACCCAAACCAAACCAACAAGGAAAATCAAAACCAATAATTGAAAGCAATTTAGAAAGCTGAAAACTAAACAAAACACCAATTTCCGTTTGTGCTTATTCCCAGTCTTTTTCCAAGCTCCGCCAACAACACATCTAATAGTTGTATAACAATTATATGAACTTATCTTTATTTCAAATTAAGAAAAAATCATTACAACCAAGTTTAACTCGGTTGTAGTGATTTTTTCTTAATTTGAAATAAAGATAAGTTCATATAATTGTTATACAACTATTAGATGTGTTGTTGGCGGAGCTTGGAAAAAGACTGGGAATAAGCACAAACGGAAATTGGTGTTTTGTTTAGTTTTCAGCTTTCTAAATTGCTTTCAATTATTGGTTTTGATTTTCCTTGTTGGTTTGGTTTGGGTTTGTGTTTCCATCTTGGTTTGGATTTGGATTTTTGGTTAGCACTATAAATAGCCTTATAACTTCATTAGTTATAAGTTTTGTGATCTTAGTGAGAGATACACAATAAAGAGAGATCATTGTGAAGAGAGACTTTGTGAGATTAAATGTAAGAATCTTGTAACTTCTTTTATATTCATCTTAGTGAAACCATAGTGACCCCGTGGATGTAGCCCTTAAATTTGGGTGAACCACGTAAATCGCTTGCACTGCTTTATGAGTTTGGTATTTCTCTTCATCTACTTCTCCATTCTAGAATTATTATGTGCGTTTGTTTGCTCAAGTCCTGGAGTTTGGTATTGATTGTATATACTATAACAAGTGGTATCAAAGCGTTCATTCCTAGAGCAAGATCAATAGTGAATAAAATCAAGATGAAGATAAAAAAAATTCAACAATTCAAACTTTGGATTGTGGAAGATGCAAATAGAAGATTATCTCTATCAAAAGGATCTTTGTTTTGCTCTTGCAAGAGTAGTGAAGAAGTTGAAAAAGGTGAAAATTGGTGAGCGGGAGTTACTCGATAGCTGCCTTGTCACGGATGTTTGAGAAACCTTCAACCATGAACAAAGTCCATCTAATGAAGTTAACCATTTGAAAATATTAGAAGGAGTAGCGATTGAGCATATTAAGAATTTCAACACACTAATTAGTTACTTGAAATCCATTGAAATCTTGTTTGATAAAGAACCCTCTTGACACCACATTTTTGCCCTCTCTATAAAAAGAGACGTTTTGCTTCTATTTCACTAAAGGATAGCTTTCCCAAGATCACCCAGCTTGAGTCCAAGGCACTTATCCTACCAATTCAACAAAGATATAGGATACAACCTCTCCAAGAATAATAAGTATGGACCAAGACATGTAATATCTATTAAGGACTCACTAGAAGCATGAATGCAAACTTAGATGGGATTCAAGTCAAACAGATGTCGCCATTGCATCCAAATATCAAGAACCTTTGGAAGTGTCATAACTAATCAAAGACAACCTCAAGGTAATATTGTCATTTCTTGAGCCATTGAGTCACCAAATAGGTGTTCAGGAAAATTCCTTTTCCTACTATATTCTTATTCTAACTGGCTCATAAAATAAATTGGCTCAATTTTGATCATTAATTTTAGATTTTGTTTTAATTTGGTACAATTAATAATATTGTTAGTGTTTTTCACGAGAAATTATCACTAAATTGATTGAGATTAATTAACTGAGTTGAGTAAGTTTACAACTTTGTTCTTAAAATAATAATGACTTGGACCCCCTTTTTTTCCTACCCCCTTGACCCCCTCTTCACTTGATTGACTACTTTTTCTTTCTTTCTTTTTTTTTATTCCTTCTCCTCCAATCACCACCCGCCACGTGTTTGTGGGGAGGGTGGTGATCGGAGGGGGTCTCAATCATCACCCTTCGTGTCGCGGGGAAAAAATTAAGCTAGTTTCAAGTTTAAGAAAAAGTATTTTAAATCTGATAACCAGACGAACTGTGTTATGCATTCTATCTAAATGGATCCAAATTTAAGCCTCGTTTGGCAAGTGGCTATTTTAGCCAAAAAGACAAAAAGTCACTAAAAGCTAACTATTTATACCAAAAAGTCAAAGATTTCATTTTCTCTCTACTTTTTTGCACATCTTTTCATAAAAAACTAAAAAGTCATCACAAACATACTAGTTTTTTTTACATCACATTTTAGTCAAAAAATCAAAAAATTACTAAAAAAACCTGTTCCCAAACGAGGCCTTATTATTGATTATGAAATGCAATCACCATGTTTTGTTCTAGGGAGTTGCCTTTTCGGAAAATTGTGTGTGTTTTTTTTTAAATATTTTACCTTTTTTTTAAAAAATTTTTTAGATACACCTAATCTAAATACGCTTAAAATGTATAATTTTTTTGATTTTTTTTTTTAAAAATTCACTAAATACAAAAAAAAAGAAATTTGAAAATTCAATACATTTTTATATTTTGTTGTATTCAAAAAAAATTTTGTATAATTTTTTTTACTTTGTATATTAAAATTAATTGAATCTAAATGAATCTAAATTTTTTTTAAAAAAAAAATTGATTAAAATATTTAAAATAATCATTAATATAAAAATACAAATTGAAAACTCAAAAAATTATTTAAAAAAAATTGATTAAAATATTTAAAATATTTAAAATAATCATTAATATAAAAATACGAATTGAAAACTCAAAAAATTATTTTTGAAAACTGAAAAACAAACTGTGTGAATGCAATCCATTGCTCCAAAACCAAAAAACATAATTAGATATCTAGTTATGACCACATAGTTTAATCAAACCAAACGTTATCAACTAAAAAAAAGATTAAACTTATTTTCCATAAATAAATACAAATTGACTAAGATTGAAATCAACTAAGAATATTATATATGATTAAACTTATAATTCACATAAATATTTGTGCATATAATACTATTTTTTCTTAGTTTATGTATTAATACTTACATTTATATCATAAACTCAAAATGTGATCATATAATTCATAATCTTCCAAATTCAGGTTCAATGTGAAACTAATTAGTGATCACCTCTCCTTTTCTTTTCTTGAAAGAAATTTGGAAATATTATTTTGTCTAAGTGTGACAATGTTGTCAAAATGGGCTTGGCAATCTAGCAGACCCATCAACTTAACAGGAGCACCACTAATACAACGTAATAGTTTCATCATTGAGGAGGATTATGACAGGTCGAAATCGAATGTCTACATTTGTAGTTTTAATTATAGATACATATAATATTTTTTTAAAGGGGGAGTGGGGGTGATGGTGTCTCTATGTCTTCCTAGTTACTCTTTCTAATCGGAGTAAAACCGCAAATTATAAATATAATCTTAGCTTTAAAATGAATTACATAAATCTTGTGTTTTTATGTGTGCTTTAGATTTATAGTTCTAATTTGTTTATTTTTCTCCATTTTCGTGTCTTGTCCATCCTAGTTAGATGTTATAAAATTCCTATTCACCCAAAAAAAGTTATAAAATACCTAACAATAATTGAGTACGCCATTTTTAATGGGTGTGTATTGTAACAATTCTCTACCTAGATATGTATATTAATGTTTTCAAGAACTTTCCATTGAATAGTTGGCTTAACTATCAAGCAAATTTTAAAAAGCCCCCAATTTTTTAAAAGCATAGTTAAGTTCCGTATAATTTTATCATTGTTTTGCTTAAAAATGCTAAAATTATTGTCCTGAACGAGTAAGCTATATACAAAATAAATATTTTTTACAAATTTCTCTTACAAACTAATATGGCATCTACAATATGAGCAATGCTATATGAACTAACAAATTTACAAAAAAAAAAAATTTTAAATTTACTCAATGATATGACATTTTTCTTACAAACTTGTATAAAATGTGAAGGCCATGCTTGTCTTTAACATTGATTTTTGACTTTGACTTCTATTTTTTCATTGTCAACTCTTACGGTTTGCAAGTGTGGAACACTTTCCATCATTTTAGACAGAATAAATAACGGCAAGAAGGTGAATTTTGCCCAAAGATCTATTAGCAAAATTTGAATATAAAGACTTAATTAATAATTTTGTAAGTCAAAAAACGTAGAAAAACAAGTTTTAAATATTTTTTTATTATAATTATATTAAAAATTGCAAAAGGTCTCATTTTAAATTGGTGCTTTAAACCTCAATTTATTTTGTCCCGACCTTGACGGTCAACACTAAAAGAAAAGGGTAAGGACATTCGTACCTCAAAGTCGAAGAAGGGTTTTGTTTCAAATTTAGAACTGGCAAAACTTTTGAGACTTTGCAATCCTTTAAGTTTCAAATTCCATAATTGAGGGAACAAGACTTGTTCTTGTTCTTCTTCCCCATTCATTGAGACTAACATTTCCATCTTTCGACAATGTTCGATAGTGAGTTTTTGCAAATTCTTCAACTGTGAGAGCACGTTGGACGAGGCCAAATTCATGAGTTTGTAACAACTCCAGACTGTAACCTCCTTCAGTTGATCAAAGGACTTGGCCGGGAATAATTTATTGCCCCATATTTCTGTTATGTTTGCCACCATGTGAATATCCAACCACACCAAAGCAGGAAATGCAACCTGCAACATTCATCATATATAATTTTTTAGGAAAATGTTTGAGGGCCACAATTTTTGTGGCCACAATGGTTCAAAACTGGGTCGTTTTGAATCCAAAACGATGTCGTTTTGACAGTTTTGAGCCATTGTAGCCACAAAAATTGTGACCCTCTAGCATTGTTGAATTTTTTATATGAGTCAGTGTGCAACATTTGACACCCAATATTTATCCAAACCAGCATTATCCAACAATGATAATTGCGACACAACAAGATTGGAATTCTATCTTCTTTTTAATGTGCTTCTCCATGGACATTTTAGAAGATTTAGGACATTCGTACCTGGTGATTAAACAAGGGTTGTGCGTCAGATAGGCTAGAGCAGCTGTAGAAACTTCTAAGGTTCTCCATATTTCCAAGTTTCAGTTTATTTAGTTGAGAGAACACAATGACATTATTTTTGGCGGTTTCTTCTTTTTCTGCTTTCTTGGAGACTATTACTTCCATTTTTGGACAACCTGCTATATCAAGTTCTTCCAGATTCTGTAACTGTTGGAGCATACTGTATGGGACCAAATTCACCAATTTGTCACAAAACCAGACCTTAACAATTGTTAACTGGCAAAAGGACTCTGCTTTTTTGGGAAGCAATTGCTTGTCCCAAATCTGTGTTATTTTTGGCACCCTTCTAAAGCTCAATTCCTTCAACTCAGGAAAAGCAATCTGCAACATATTTGTTTCATTAACAACTCTTCCAATGTCAGCAATCTCCACTAACCATCACTACACAATCAATGGAAGAGCTTGTGTGCACGAAGAAAAATTATACAAAGTTTTTGGGCAATTGTTTCACATCATTCACCAACTATATATATGGTTTCTGTAAACATCAATACAATAGTGATGGATTAATGACTCAATTACGTTTAAATCGAAAACAACCTGACAATGCCCCAAAACTATAATACAATTGTTAGAGACTTATCATCTCCATAAGCCACTTTAGTTAATATACTAGAGAAGTCCTTTTAATCAGTACTAATTAATTTTTTGTTAAATACTTTTAAAGATTCAAACATGATATCAAACTTGCATTTTAATGATCTTTAGTAGCCAAGTCTGCCCAAATCAATTTCTCTCACATAATCAATCATCAAAGAATTTTTTATTTTTTTATTTTTGGTCCTGCTAGCAAGTAGTCTGGACATTTGTTTAGCAATAATTAATGCTACAATTTGTATTTAATAAGTTTTTGATTAATTATACTGTAATTAGTGACAAAAGAATTTTCAAAATAAGATGAATAGCATATTTATAAATGGTGCTAAAGAATTTTTTTAATTTTAAATATTACCCTTTTAGTTAAATATTCATCATTACAAAAATAATGATAAACTTCAAATATGACATACTTGGTATTATAAAAAAAAAACTGAGAACTACTATAATAAAAATAACTAGTTGGGGAACCTTTCTATCTCTCTCTTTTTGGACAATTGGTTGGGTAGGGGAAATAAGAGAGGAGAAACTAGACTTGCAACAAAAAGACTCGAATATGAGAGTAATGTTCTTGGTAGTTATTGACAAGGTTATAAAAAATGGCCATTACGTTCGTAACAGAATATGGATCCATCGTTTCGGATATCCACTGGTATACCGCTGTGAATGAAATTCGCTGAATAACCATCTAGTTCCCGTTATGTGACGAGGTGTAGCCGTTACACAGGCCGCGATAGACTGATACTCACCGGTTTAGATCAATATTGGAAAGAAAGTGTCGAAAAACCTGTAAAAAATGGTTAAGAAATTTCATATCCGCAACCCCTGATTCCCGATACGTACCAGCCGATACGATCGATACCGATACTCCGTGATCGATATCGTTGCATTATCTGATACCGTGATTTAGAACCATGGTTATTGAAGTGTTGACCACTAACCCATCTAAAAACTTAGCCTGTTACAAACAGCGACAATTTTATTATTTATAGTATATTTCCAACATGCTTCTCACGTGTGACCAGGCTTTTCATCATAGCAAGCTAAACACGTGCAATCATTTTTAATAATTGGGTAGGCGGTGAACACAAGATCTATTACTTGCTTGAATAACATATTAAAATATTGACCACCACTTCATCTAAAAGTTTAATCTATTAAAGAGTGGGACAATTTTATTATTTATATTATAATGTTCTATCGAATGTGATAGAAC